ATTCTAAAAAGTTGGAGTACAGGAAATGAACAAGCATCTGTGGAAACATGTTCTTCTCCTTTAGAACCCTGTACATCCTGACAGTAAGAATCAATCAAAACTTGTTTACAAAGGTTATTTTTAGCATGAAAGAATATCTTCTTTGAATATTACAGTAGACTAAGAAGACAAGGCATTGTTATATATTGATTATTAACATTTTACTAATTTGCCATAACTGATAATTTTCCTTGTCAACAAAGCTTTCATTTTCAAATATAGCACAACCTTCCAGTATTAAGTCAAGTGATTTGTGTATTCCTACCCAAATATTATCTTCAACACTGCAGAAATGCTATGCCTCACAGACATATACTGCAAATTTTTTGTTCTCTGTATGATGGAAATAAAAATTTCTGTCCATTCCAATAGTTCCATGGACTTATTTATTCCTACTTTATCATATGCTTTAATGTATTGTAAAAAATAAAATGAACAGTTAACACAGTGCAATAAAAGCTTATTATATTTAATTTAGAATATGAATGTCACTCAGCCCAGGTTTTGGCTGGCAGTGTTGCAGGAGACCTTCCAGGCAAAAAAATGAGGCACGGGGGGCTGCATGTGGCACCCCCGTGCCCTGTTTTGTCTGGCAGGGTATTGCTGGAGACCATCCAGGCCAAAAACCCCATTTTGGCCGGCAGGGTGCTGCCCCCCCCCACAGGGCTGGTCCATGGACAACTACAATGCCAATGCAGCCCCGAAGGAATCTAGTTTAACATCTCTGCCTTAATGACTACCCCAAAGTGGATCTCTCTGTGGATAGTACACTGCCCAGTGTCCCAAAGGCCCTTATGGCTCTGAATGTGTTGTCCTTCAGGGAAAAGTTTAAGATAAGGCTGTTCTAGCAGACTCTGAGTTACCTTTCTGAATGGTCCCACAGAGTAACAAGTGTGATATAATATATCTGATTTGTTCTTCCCAACATGTTTGTTTTACTTTTTATTGTTTCAGTCACTAATGAATAAAGGTAAAGGTAAAGGTTCCCATTGCACATATGTGCTAATTGTTCCCGATTCTAGGGGGCAGTGCTTATCTCCGTTTCAAAGCTGAAGAGCCAGTACTGTCCAAAGATGTCTTGGTGGTCATGTGGCTGGCATGACTAAATGCCAAAGGCGCACGGAACGCTGTTACCTTCCCATCAAAGGTGGTCCCTATTTTTCTACTTGCATTTTTTATGTGCTTTAGAACTGCTAGGTTAGCAGAAGCTGGGACAAGTAACAGGAGCTTACCCTGTTATGCAACACTAGGAATTCGAACTGCTGAACTGCTGACTTATCGATTGACAAACTCAGCATCTTAGTCATTGAGCCACCGCATCCCTTCAGTAATGAATGGGCAGTCTTAAAAGTGGATTGACTGGCAATTCTGAAAAGGACATCTGCCTGACTCAATCGCCTGACTTACTTTAAAGTAAATTCCTGTGGTTCCCATTCACAGCTCTGTTTTATAAGAACTTCTATATGCAAAGCTTGGAGTTTTCCTGCAACTTCCATTTTCGATTGTTTGGAACACATATATTCTTACATCTCTAATACCTGACTGCAAACAGCAGACAAAAACCCTTAATTTAGAAAATACTTTCCTCAGAAAAAGAGCCTATATTTGGCACCTGTTACAAAATGTCATTAGAAAATTATTTAAATACAGCATAAGACAATATTCATTTCACAGCCACAGCCAAGCAAGATGGGCGGGTGAGCTAAACTGTTTCCTTCTCTGCTGAAGTGTATTGAGGTTCAAGACAATGGTTCCAATAGCTGCTTCAAATTCTCAGTCTATTTCGTCATTTTTCCTGCTTCCCAAGTCTTCACATTTCTTTCCTTTTTGTTCTCATAGGGCTGGCCGTATTAGTAGGCAGAGGGAAGTAGCTGCCATATATGGCAGGTACAGAGGAGAATCAGATTCACTTTTTTGACTCCTGCTTTGTGGAGCTAGATTCCAAAAGATCCTTCCAGGATATGAGCAGGTTGTTTTGCATCCCTAATTACCTTCAGAACCATACTTTAGAACTTCGTTGGTGACCTATCCTTCTTTGTATTTCCTAAAAATGTTCATTTTTTTGTTCAGATTTTGTTTTCAGATTTCAGATTTTCACTAGCATAACTACACAGATTTTTTTTTTTTTTTTTTTTTAATTTGATTTTTATGCCGCCCTTCTCCGGAGACTCAGGGTGGCTTACAATGTGTTAAGCAATAGCCTTCATACTTTTGTAAATTTATACAAAGTCAGCTTATTGCCCCCACAAACTGGGTCCTCAATTTACCTACCTTAGAAAGGATGGAAGGCTGAGTCAACCTTAAGAATTCTTTGGTATTCCATTTTTTCCTCATTGAAACTGTTTGCAGTTGCACTTTTAGCATCGCTTTAGTCTAAGCCCACCTTCCGTGAGCTAATTTTCCCATGAATATCTCTTGCCATATTATCTTATTATGCCTTTGATGATTAAAATATCTTTTTTAAAGTCCAAGATACATATTTGACTACATTCATCTGCAATATTATTTTTTAAAATCTCAAATTTTATTTTTCTTACATTTTAAATTGTATCCCTTTGAAAGGAGAAAAATTGCACATGTTATTTTTAAACTAAATTGAAAAAATGTATCCCAGTGTTTTGTTGGGTAATATTTCTATACTACCAAAAGCGGTTGCTTCCATAAAGGGCATTTTAAAGGTCATGAATCGGTTAGAATATATATTATGCATAAACTTATTTCCTGCCCATTCTGAGATAATTGCTGAAATCATAACCATTTGTAGTTTTTTAACTCTGCACTTTTTTAAAAAGTACATATATCTATATCTGTTAACAGTCCTTTCTGTTAAATATCCATCTATCTTTCACCAACATCTAATGAAAGTAATTTCCTAGAGATGGAAATTTATGTCCTATACTAGATAATGTCATTAATCAACCAAGACTGCAGTCAAGAGAATACATAAACCTATAAAAGTGTCTAGCACTTTTTCCCAATTTGATTGACCCTTCCCAAACCTCCCTAACAAACATGAATATTGGCTTTGGTGGAACCAAGATGAGGGATGGTATCCTAACAAACTTTAGCTTTACCTTCTATGAATAGACCCTCTACATGATATGCATGTTTGATCCTGAAATTTAGTTATGTTTCAAATGTTATTTGGGATGGAGAGGAGGAGATGATGATTCTTAATTTTGAAGCAATTAAAGGAGTTTTCTGTGGCCAGTGATGCTAGCAAGCTTTTCTGATTTTACCAAAATGTAGGAAATATTTACTTGTAAAACATTATATAAGTTAGTAATTGTGTGAAAATATAATTCTCAATAACTCTTACACGTACCCTGCTGTTACCCTGCCCACGTTGGTATCTCCATGTTGCAAAATAAGAGGATAGGGCTAAGGATCAAAAAACAGTGGTGACCTTTAAGACCCCTATTAAATTTGTCACTAGTCATTATTTGTAACACAGTCTTCCTAGCTCATAATACTTGTTCTTCTGCATTTCTAGAGTGTACTAAAACAGAATCAGTTTGTTTGCTGCTATAGCTAGTAGGTATGTGTCAACAAGAAAAGGCAAAGTTAAGAAAAATAAAAGACAAATATAAAAGAAAAGAAAGAAATAATAGCTGGCAAAATGAAAAAGGAATGAAAATAATAATTAAAACTTTTCTCTTGGGTTTAATGGAAAAAGACTGAGGGGGGGATGGAATTTTGATGTTATATTTGTTGATGGGAGCAAGATTGCTTTATGCACAAAAATGGAAGGACACTTTAATCCCCACAATGGATGAATGGTTGCAAAAGCTGACGGAGTTAGCAGAGAAGGCTAAATTCATTGCTTTGATAAAAGAAAAAAACACAAGTACTTTCGTTTCTACTTGGAAACCGTTTCTGAACTTTGAGCTTGAGGTGGAAAAAAATGAAACTTTGATTTTGGGTTTTACATAGATTTGCTGTTACAGAAATGGCTAGTTTATACTATTATGTAAAAGTAAAAAATTGAGGTTCGATGTTACTTCTTATTCTACTGTAGCAAAGGGAGTCAGAAGTCAATGTCTTTTCTTTCTTTTTCGCTTCTTCTCTGCACTTTTCTCTTCCCGTTTTCCTCCCCTACTTTTCCTATTATTTACTTTTGTATTTTATATTATAAACTAATAAAAAGGTAAAGATGGTAAGCTAAAAATGGGGAGTCATGGATGGCTAGGTCCAGAACCTCTATTTTTCTTTTCTGTAATGATTCTGTGTTGGGGTTACTATGGCTTAACATCTGGTTTACATATATAGTATTGAAACATGCTACAATTGTGTTTATTTAGTCCTGGCAAAATAGTAAATAATTGCATCAACATTGGGGAGGATTACATGGGGAAACTATCCCATTTTCCCCCTCAATGGATAATGTTACTGATAATGTTCCTACTATGGATGTATTTTCCCAACAACTATAACAGGCAAGATGTTTGCTTGAAGAAGGAGATCAAAAGAGTTACTGTTCCCTGACATTAACAGTTAGCATCTGAACAGTCAATCTGTTAAAAATCTGAGATTTACAATATATTGAAATTTATTTATCAATGAATTTATAGGAATTACTTCCAAATTTATATCCTACTATAGTATATTAATTATCACATGTAATTTCTATAGAAATACCTTTGAATGCTATTTTGGTGATGTTCCTTCCTATGCAATAGGTAGACAATATCCTATTTTTAGTGCTATTTTATATGTATATTTAATCGAATATACATTACATTCCACTGTCCTCTGTATGACTTAATACTAACTGGGCATAAGATTCAACATCCCACTGTCTAATTTACCATTACTTTAAAATGACCGTATTATTTAACTTTCTAGTTAAATTATATATTTATTACATATAGGGAGTTTCAGTAGGATTTCGTTGTTAATTGCTTACTATCTTTCCCGTTTCACTTCCTTTCACCTCTGTTTCCCACAACCCATGCTTGCAGTCTGCACCCACAATGAGAGAGAAACTGAGAAAGATCAACAGCTGGATAACTTGTACCTGAAAGCTTTAGAGGGTTTTATCACTGTCATCACACAGGATGGAGACATGATCTTTTTGTCTGAAAACATCAGCAAATATATGGGCTTGACACAGGTAAGCATATTATCTACTCATTTCTCATACAAGCTGGATATGACTCTCTGCTCCTTCTCTCATTCTGCTCTTGGTAAATAATTTTTTTTAAAAATAAGATTGAATAAAATATTTTCTATATATCTCAGAGAGGCAAAAGATACCTGTTCTGGTGTCTCTGCAGCATTGTTCCATGAAGAGACCAATGCATTTGTGTAGGATTAGAGACACAAGAAGATGCTCTGAAGCCATAAAAGTTCTATGTATATAGCTGTGTAGTGTAGAAGAATAGAGATTTGTATGCATATATCTGCCCAATAAAACATACCATCAGTTTGGACAGAGGATGTGAGATATTTTGTACAGGTAGGACTCAGCCATGCATCCTCCTTTTGGCTTCCTGTCTTTTTCATTTCACATTGAAGGTTTGTTTTGATTTTCATTATTGTCTAGAGTTCAACTCAGGGGTGGGTTTCAAAACCCGTCGCTACTGGTTTGCTCCTGTGTGTGTGCGCGCACTCGCACATGCGCAGAAGCATCCGGATGGGTGGGCAGAGCCTCCCGCCGCTGCCGCTACTGGTTCGCCCGACTTTGGGCGAACCGGTAGCAACCCACCACTGGTTCAACTAAAGATATGGATGAGTTTGAAAGTATTATTAATAAGGACAAGTCTGTACAACATAGTTCACAAGATGGTCTACAGATGGTGCTGTTAAAAAGCCAGGCTGATGCATCCTCAAACTGGGAATTCTGCAAGGATTTGATCCCTTATCGTCTATTTCCTCCCACATCTGCTCCTGCTGAGTCAGCCTCAAGTGGTTGATTATTTAACTTGGTCGATCAGAATCCTTAGCACTGATTTCTCCAAGTCAGATGAAACAGTAATAGTTACCTGCAAAGTTTTTGATCCTGTGACTCCTAAGGAAATCGATAGTATCCTCATAACTGTCAGTCTGTTTACCTGCTTATTAGAACCATCTCCCTCCTGGTTTATTAAAGCCTGCCAAGAAATGATATGAGGTTGGCTCTATGCAGTGGTAAATGTTTCCTATCCTAGGAATCCCTTCTCTTGGTCATCTATACTTTTATCATTGCACATGTGGATTACTGCAATATGTTCTACATCGGGCTGTCCATCTTTATCATGTTGCTTTTGTCACATTCTCTCATGTGGTTTTTATATGTTTGAGGATAGATGAAATTTTCATCCATCTGTCTGTCTGTCTATCTATTTCACTCATTGTACAGGTAAATTCATTTTGTAATTTGTTTATCTCTTCGCTTCTTCTCAATTGATTTTATTGTCTTTTCTGCCAATAAGATAGAAATGCCATTCTTGGTTTGTTCCCACCTTTTTTTTTTCTAGGTGGAATTGACTGGGCACAGCATTTTTGATTTCACTCACCCATGTGATCATGAAGAAATTCGGGAAAATCTAAGCTTGAAAAATGGTAAATATTTTTTTAAAATGTACTTGATCCCCTGGAAGATTTATTATAACCTGAGAATGAGTGTTCAAAGTTGCATTATATGTACATATTATTTATGGGCAAACAATCCCTGGTGGATGGTTCAGTCAGGGACTCCTAATTGTTACTTTGTATTAGTGTGGGCATATCCTCATCCTTGTATCCTCCTAGTTCTTTCCTCTAGGTTGATACAGGAGTATCAGGAGAATCCAGCCTTTTTAAACTGGGATGTCTCCCCTTTACCTACCAGGTTTCTGGACTGATCTCTGGCTTGGGGAACCTGGCTTGGAAAGATGGACCAACTCAAACAGCAGTTGACTATATTGAGAAGAACCCTGAATTATAGCACCTAAATTGTGTAGAGTTGTGTCTGTCTGTGTTGTGAAGCAACAGAGATATCTTGGTGATGGTACACCAGCCCCATTACCAGTCAGGATTCTTCTGAAAGCATTTTGAAAGCCATGTTCCTGGCAAAAATGAATAGGATAGCCAGTAACAGCTATACTGAAAAGGAGATATGGGTTATCCAGTGCCCCTTCCTAACAATTGTTGCTCAGACCCAAGATGTATGGACAGAGGTGGAGAAGGACTATACAGTCCTCCCCACCACCACTGCTCTTCTTCATTGCTACCAACCATTGCCTGTTATTCGGTCTCCTAGTGAGCATAGATTTAGCACCATCAGAATACTCCTTCCTTCCCTGTTTCCCATACCTCCTTAGCTGTTAGTCACTTCTTTTAGATTCACCCATGGAAAACACTTGTGCAAAGTCTTGAGTATATTTTGATGGACATACTCACAGACATGCTAGATTAAACCCACCAGACTAGCCGTCTATCAAACTTGTCTTTTATCCTATATTAAGGATAATAGATGAAAGATGTTTTCATGCCAGTTGTGATGTTTGATGGAAGGATAGGGAGCCAAAGTCAGCGCAATCTACCCATCCCTTTCTTTAATTCTGTCTGTACATAGATTGGTCAGAAAGGACTGATACTCTTGATCTGAAGGAAACTTCTCTTCCCTATGTTACCTAGTGCCTATTCAAATGTTACCTGACTCTATCTCTAGGAGAAATTGAGGGAGGGGGGAAGCTAGATTGACCTTTTCATTCCCCACTTCTCCTTAGTATATGAGGACAAAAGCAGCATCTATGTTACATTATGAAGCTGGGAAGTCGGAAATTGGATGGAAAGGGAGATATTTTGCTAAAATCTGTCAGAACAAACCCAGTTAAATAATTAAATCAGTTTATAGGCAATAATACATTTGTGGATTTTTTTTTGTTTTAACCATATCTATTGAAACATTGCATGTACAATTATACACCATATTAAATTTGTTAGTTTTTAAGATGTCACATGGTGTTTTTTTTTTTCCTGATTAAAGTTGTTAGTTCCTTCTGCAGAAAATAGTATTGGGTGAGGGAGCTTATTATAACATCCACTACCCAGCCCAAAGGGAATCTAGAGCAGTGTTTCTCAATCTAGACTAGAATTCCCCAACTAGCTATAGTGGCTGGGGAATTTTGGGAGTCAATGTTCACACATCTTAAAGTTATCCAGGATGAGAAAAACTATGATCTAGAGAGTCAGGAAACTATTGATCCTTGTGAGTAATAAAAGCTTTAGAATGTAACCAACAGAACATAAAACTGTTCTGAGAAAATGGTAACCTTATTTAGTTAATAATCACTCAGAAATGTAGCAGGTTTACAGTAACAAAATAGTGAAGCTAACATTTTTTTATATAACAAAAGTGACGATTTCCTCAAACCTGAGCTGTTTGCTCATTGAAATCTGATTATTAGTAAAGCAATAACTAGTTTATCTTGCAACATTTCAATCCCCTTGTAAGGTGACATCCAAAGTAAAGATTTAAACCTTGGAAATTCTGACAGAAAGTGAGTTTATATATATTTCCAGGGCTAATATGATTAGTTTTTTTTTTTCCTTAGGTCCAGGTTGTGGGAAAAAAAGTAAAGAGATGTCCCTGGAACGTGACTTCTTCATGAGAATGAAATGCACTGTTACCAACAGGGGCAGAACTGTAAATCTCAAATCTGCCACATGGAAGGTAACTTTAGTGACAATGGTTGAAAAAATTCAGTCTGATTTTCTTCCCTATTGTTCTATATTATAATAATATAATTATACAAACAACTTTTACATTTCAGGTTTTGCACTGCACAGGACAAATTAAGGTCTATAATACCTGTCCTCCTCATGCTCTGTGTGGCTTTAAAGAGCCACTCTTATCCTGCCTTGTTCTGATGTGTGAGCCCATTCAGCATCCTTCCAATACTGATATTCCACTGGACAGCAAGACTTTCCTGAGCCGTCATAGCATGGACATGAAATTTACTTACTGTGATGACAGGTGAAATGATAATCTCTTTTTTGTTGGGAAACATAAGCAGCCTTGTCTATTTCTAATATGACTGTAGAATTGTTAAAATTCTTAAAATACACATAGACACAGCACAAAGAGAACATGGCAGAGTTCTAGTACATTATACTAGCTCATCCAGAGCTTTTTGGTGGGAGAATTATATCCTTGCAAATTGAAAATACTACTGTGGAGGTTGATCTGTACTAAAACTTTTCTTCTCGTCATGTTATTATTTTTTTTTACTTTGAATATATCCAAAGGGAAAACTTTCAAAATTGTTATCTTCCTCCTGTAAGCTGAACTGGTACAGCCAACTATATTTTCATTCTATTTCTGAAGGCCTGAAGTTTGGTTTATCCATATAGGGGCAAAGGATCACACCTCTTCATTTTACAGAGAAGGATGTTGTTCATTAAATATCTAAAATGCTAAAATCAAAAACAAGAACTTGTTCTCTAATAAAGAAGATTATTTTTTTTAGTGGAAGGATATCATCAACAGTATCTTCTCATCAGCGGTGGGTTCTACTTACATTTACCACCGGTTCGAAATGGGATCGCGCATGCGCAGATCGCTGATGATGACATCCGGGGTGGTGGGCGGGGCCTCCAACCGGTTTTAATACCGGTTCTTGCGAACTGATCCAAACCGGGGGCAACCCACCATTGCTTCTCATATAGAATCATAAATAGAAAAATGCATTTTATTATACCTCATTTGGCCTAATATTCAGATTAGGATCATATAGATTTTTTATTTATTTTATTTATTTATAAATTTTATTTGCCGCCCATCGAGTGACCACCTGTCATCCAACGAGATATAGGAGTTGTATCCCATCAGTATTTTGACTATCTCGGAACATCAGTGGCGGGCTGGCTATCCTCAGCTACTTTTCCTCAAAAATCTGAGCAATGGCTTTATAATGGTTCTTCAAGTAAGTATAGCTTCCACATATAGCATAGTGCCAAATGTCACAAAGCCTTAGTACAAAATTTTGCAGGGTCTCCTTTTGCAGTGTGAATCATTTTGGAGAATTAAATACTACTGATACATGCAGGTAAAATTAAGCCAGGCAGTTTTCTAGGCATCTTAAAACTGCCTGCTTGCCTATAATATCCATTTGTAAAATAGATTGGTGATGGGGAAACTTGCCAAGGAGAAGAAGGGAGAGTGGGATGTCCACTTTCTCTAAGGGATTAGAAGGAAAGGATTGATTACCTTTGATCAAATACTAAGTCACAAACAAACAAAAAAGATGAACCAAACTTATACATATTGAAAGCCAGATAGCTGGACTAACCTCTCATGGCACCCAAAATATAATGGAAGTCTGTAGGTTCTGTGCCTGTTGTAATTATTAATTGCCAAAACCTGACGTCCTTTAGTTATCTAGTGCATTTGTGTTATACAGGGTTTTTTAATATTCCTATTGAACAGAAATTGTATTTTGGAAACAACTGCCAGGATATTACTCATTCAGGAAAGAGAATTCATTGTATGTCCCAGCTACATTAGTATTAGAGGGCATTTGACGATAGCTATATATTTTCTGTTTTCAAAACATTAAATATTGTTCTTTTTATACCATCAACACCTTGTTCCCACAGACAATTCTCACATAGGGGCTACATAAGAAATTGAAGGTCATGACAAAGAGAACAAACGGCTCTGAAAAGAAAAACATTTACCACCAAAACTGGGATTAAAATAACCAACTGAGGCTGTTCAGAAAATGGTACTCATATATAAGAAGTTAAATATCCTGTTTACCTGAAAATAAGACCTATCCTGAAAATAAGCCTTAGTTTTTTACGCGTGTGCCTACCGTGTTTCCCCGAAAATAAGGCCCTGTCTTATATTTTTTTGAATCCCGAAATAAGCGCTTGGCCTTATTTTTGGGGAGATCTTATTATTTTGGGTGTGTTGAGCAAGATGGGGCTCCTCTTGCCGTCTTACCTGATTTCCAGCTCTGTCTTCCTAACCATAACCAGAGGAAATGGTGGGGACCAGCTGCGCATGCACTTAAATATTTTTGGGGAGGGCTTATTTTCAGGGAGGGTTTACTTTGGGGGGGGTTATTTTAGCACATGCGCTCAAAAGCCCAATTGGGCTTATTATCAGGAGATGTCTTATTTTCAGGGAAACAGGGTAATATAAGCCCTACTCCCAAAATAAGCTCTACTTAAGAGCCTGCGCAGCTGGCCGGCTACTCATTCCGTCTGGTTGCTCACAGTGCCGCAGCCACGAGGTGAGCGGGGTGGAGCTGCCCCACGCACCACACACTGCCCTACCTCAGGACCCCCGCAGCCAGGCCATCCACGCCCCAACACCTGCCTCACGACGGCAGCATCAGCAGCCATGTGCAACAGGAGCCCACATGGCTACTGGGCTGGCCCACTTCTTGTCCTTGCTCGCAGCCACAACGGAACAGAAGGCCAAGTAGTGTGTTGGTGCTGCAGCCGCAAGGTGAGGCTGATGTCGGGGCGTGACTGGCCTGGCTGCAGGGATCTTAAGGTAAGCCAGTGTGGGCCATGTGATGCAACTTCACCCCCCTGCCTCACGGCAGCGGCACTGGTATACCACACAGCCTCCTGCCCCACTGCAAGGAAGCAGAAAAGTGGGCCTCCCATGTACTCTTAAAGTATATGGGGAAAAAATAAGACATTCCCCAAAAATAGTACTTATTTTCACTAGTGCCATAGTGCTTATTTTGTGGCTCAAAAGAAAATAAGACCCGGTCTTATTTTCGGGGAAACACAGATATATCCTGTGTATAAAATTATGATAATTTTAAGCATAGTAAATTAGCTGTTGGGAATTAGGCATACTTTCCCACCCGTGGACTCTACAGTACAAATATGGTACCATTTCCCCACTTTGAGATTTCAGTCTATCTACATAGATAACTTTTTAGGACATTTCAAGTTGGTTGATATCCATTCATTCATTTTGCACCTTTCTTATTTTTACAAATAAGGTAGTGAATGTATCCAACACACCTTCCTCCTCCTATTTCCCTACAACAACAACCCTGTGGCGGGAGTTAGGCTGAGAGAGAAAAGAATAGGCCATTAATTGCTTCATAGGTGAGCCGCCTAAATAAGACTCTAAAAAGCAGATTTTACGATATGTGAGAATTATAATAATGAAATTCAAGTAAAGTGATGAAAATTGTGGCCCAATGATAGAAAAAAAGATTTGAAACACAATATCACAATTTTCAATAATCTTGTTTGGTTCTTGCAGATTACATAGCCATTATGTTACAGTCAGCTTGATAGACCTGAAGTCTATCTGAATCAAAGGCATAAAAATAAGCAATGTTCTAAGATCTTTTAATAAGGAAACAACCATTTAGCTTACAAAAGCAATTAGGTTGAGTTGACATTGCTTATGCCCCAACAAAATAAAACAGAGGAGAATCCATGTCTCAGTGCTAAAGCATCTGCTTTGCATGAAGAAGGTCCCAAATTCAGCCCTTGGTTTTAAAAGAATCAGGTGATAGATGATGAGGAGTTTCCCCCGTGACTGACAGTATGACTGTCAACCAACATAGACCTGTCTTCCTAATAATTTAGGAAGCCCATTTTTAATAATTTAATAATTGACCTAATAATTTAATAAATTGTTGAATAAATTTATGTATTTAAATAAACTATTAAATATATTTAATAATTAACAATAATTTAGAGAAGTCTATTTTTCCAGACTTCCTCTAAGGACTGTTTCAGCACCTGGATTGGAGAATTTCCTCCACCTTCTTGTTTTTCATGCTAACTGAGATATATGGGTGGGAAGTTAATTTAGCCTGAAACAGTTTTTGGGTTATTTGGGACTAAAGTTAAAGTTTTAAGACTCTACTTAAAATATCTACTGTCTACAACCCACAGCAGTGACCGGTTTTGAATGACACATTAATTCCATCTACTTTGACCCAATTAAGCATCTCACATAAACATGATTACTTAGTTGTTGATCTTTCTCTCAAGACTGTAACTTCCAATATGTCAGGAAATATTTTCATAAAATGTGTACGTTTTGTGTAATTAAAGCCAAATGGAGAAAGAATATCATGTCATCATGGTTAAGATTAGTAATGGCTAAGAAGATGGTTTCTTCATCCTTGAAACTAAATTGGGTAACTGCATGCTATCACCTCTCTAGCTCATTTACTCTGCCGCCAGCTCTACTAAATCTGTATTGGTTGCAACCAGTAAGAATTAAATAACAGCAAACCTACAAAAAAGAAGGCAGTGATCTAAAATATCTTTTACTATACAGTGTCAACAAGATTTGTCAATCTAGGGCTTCAGACAGGACTTTCTGAGTCCTAAAGCTCTTTACACACAGTCACTTGAGGTCAGGCAGGATATATAAATTTATATTATTATTACTATTACTATTACTATTACTATTATTATTATTATTATTATTATTATTATTATTATTATGGTTGGTTGCCTAGTCAGCCAGATGTTTAGACTGGATTGGCTATTTTTGTTCACTAAATGAATCTTTCCCAAGGTCCCAGAATAAGCGGATGTTGATTTTTAATAATATATCTGGCTGCTTCCATGCTGTCATTCCTTCTTCCTGTTGGTTCTCTTCTATTAAGAATCCCAGGTCTTGTTTGCCACAATGGAAGGAAAATGGCTTAGAAGAAGGTAATTTCAGCAGAACCCTTGGTTTTTAGTTACTGACTTTAACCCATGGGCTGGAGTCCTTCCAGAACAGTCTTTCTCAACCTCAGTAACATTCATGCTGACTGGGAAATTCTGTGAGTTGAAGTCCACACATCTTAAAAAGTCTGAGCAAGTCAGATACCCTCCTACTGATCTGTATTTTGTTTTCCCATACAGAGATATGGACATCATCCTCTCTTTGGTCCCAGGCCTGGGATTAATGTATTGGAGAGTTGCAACCATCATGCTAGGTTTTAATAGAGATAGTCCTTGACTTATGACTAGTCATTCAATGACCGTTTA